AGCAGTCTCGCCATGCTCTCCACCAGCATGAGGTGAACTGCTCGCACGTACATGCGCACACACACAAACACACAGGCCCGGGAGTGGTGCCACTGTGATCCCAGGACATCCTGGTCTTGCCGTCCAGCTGGGGAGCAGGGTTGTGGCAGTTTAGTTTGGCCAGCTAAGCCCAAGACTTGGTCCTTCTGCTCCCCCACCCCATGGGGTTTCTGTGAGCAAGAGTCGATGCAGATGGCAGTGGGCACACGGCCTGGCACAAAACATCTGGGCGCCGCTGGCACCCTGCGAGGTGGCTGTTTTTCCTACAGGCTGGCAAAGCTTGCTCGTCAGGCTTAAAGCCCTTCTCAAGTGGCTGACAGTAGGCTGGAGCCTGGGTCACCAGACTGAGTCAAATGGGAGGACTCGATGGTGGCCATTTTGTCTTACGAATGCCCTGGTGCAGGCACTGGGGGTCACTGGCCTCCGTATTTTCCTGATCAGTCAGAGCTGGCTCTGGCTCTTTCCCTGTGGCGATGTTTGGGGCAGGGGGGGGGGGGGGGGGGGGGGAAGCAAAGAATGATAAAGAGGGATAATCTGAGAGGAGCCGGTCTTCAAAATCCCGAGAGCGAAGGGCCTCATCCCCGCATCTGGGACTCTCAGGGTTTTCTATTTGTCTCCCCATGTCACTGGGGGCTCATTTCTCTGCAGGGATTGCAGCTGAAGAGAGAGCTGGGCTTCCCGAAGAGTCTTGCCAACACATTCCCAACGTGGCCCATCCATTTACGAAGGCAGTGGGTTCAACAAGGTCTCACCTTTCTCTCCCTCTGGTCTCTGAGCTGCTGAAGACAGGGATCCTACCCAGCTCACTGTGCATGGCCAGCCTTAGCACAGAGCCAGACACACAGTGAGCGCTCAGTAAGTGTGGCTGAGGCAGTAGCTGAGGCTCAGACTCTTGATTCAAGGAGGGAAACGCAAATTCTAGACTCGGAGGGCAGGAAAGTGTATCATCCCACGAGGAGTTTGCAGAGTCCAGCAAGCCAGGGTGCTCAGGAATGTTACCCATTGCTGCATGCTACTCACCCCAAAACACAGTGACTTTAAGCAACACAACTGTTTCATTTGCTTGTGATTCTAGAGTCTGGGAAGGTGAGGACACCCTGTCCCGACACCCAGTGTCCCTGGGTGAAAGGACCCATTCCCAAGATGGTTCACCCTAACTCATACTGGCTGTTAGTCTCACTCGGGTGTCTCCAGAGCTGCGTGGGCTTCCTGGCAGCGTGGTGGCAGGCCCTGAAGGCAGGAAGCAGAAGCTGCCAGTCGTGAGGCCTGAGTCTGGAAAATGGCGTTGCTCTGTGTCGCATGTAGTCTGCTGACGAAGAAGTCACAGAACAAAGGTTCAAGGGGTCTCGATGGAAGAGGTGTCAAAGAGCCTTGGTGGCTGGCTTAAAAACCGTCACGGGGCCCTCCCTGGTGGCGCAGCGGGTTAAAGCACAGCACTAAGAAGCTTAAGCCACTTCCGCATGAGTTCGATTCCCGCCTGCCCTGGAGGTGACCACATGGCGTGGCAGACCTCTCTTGACCCGCCCGCTGCTACCCTCAGCAGTGTACTTCATCGATCTGCCTGTTCTGCTCCCCACTCTGTCTCTGGTGAAGCCTCTCGCTGCCCTTGAGCCTCTGGCCTGTACCCCAGTTCTGTATGCACAAATAAATAAATCTTAAAAAAAAAAAAAAAAAACGTCACAGCTGGCTTTCTGGGCGCTCCAAATGAAGGGTTGAGATGGCAACGTCAGCTCTCCGGCATGGCTGCCCTGGGGGAGCTTCCAGTGCCCGGGCATGCAAGACGGCCTTCTCCAGGGTGGACATGGCATTACTCCGAGTCTCACAGCACCTGCTTCATCGGCACTGGAATGTTTCTCCTCCCCTTGAAGCTGGGTGGGCTTCTGACAGCCTCAGTGAGGAGCATGGCAGGAGGGCGGTGGCAGGGGTTTGAGGTGGGGGCACGTCAGGCTAGACGGCCTCCGCTGGCTGCTTCTGTCCTCCCACTTCCCGGTCACTCTTAGGGCCAGCCAAGACCCCAAACTCCACATGAGCCAATCTGCGGAGAAATCCAGCCCCCAGCTGCGTCTTCCATCTGAGGGACATCAGAGAGGCCACTAACACACCGCCCCCACCCTGACTGGGCACCCGCTGACACAGAAGCTTCTTGCCTGACCAAACAGTCCGGTCTGAGCTGGCACCCACCGGGTGTAAACTGGGGTGCCAGGGGTGGGAGTGAGGAAGCAGAACGCGAGAAGCTCTGAGGAGGGAAAGGGACTCTGAGGAAGCTGGGTGCAGCCAGGGGCACAACTCTGGCGCGAGGAGGCCCCCCTTCATCCTGAGGCTGCAGAAGTGGACCCTGCTTCTGGGCGTGGGGTAAGATGGAGGGTTGGAGGCACAAGGGTGCAGGCAGCCCAGCCAGGCAGTGGTGGGGAAGGGCAGAGGCCTGTAGCAGGCAGCAGGCCTGGTTGGGAGCCTGGGTGGATGTAGGGGAGGGAGTGGTGGGGGGTGGAGCGGGGGGAGGGGGGAAGGGGATGGTGCCCCTGGGGAGGGAGGGGGGTTCCATGTTGCTGGAAGGGCATTGGGCGGTGTCTCCTCTTTGTGGTATGGCCTTGCTGGGTCTTTTCCATGGGAGGCCCTCCCTCGCCCCCCACCCCCACCCCGGGAGGCACTTAAGCCCCATCAGCCCTCAGTCCCACCTTGTCACTCAGGCCCCTGAGTCCTGGGTCTGACAGATGTGGAAGCTCCTGCTGCCCCGCCAGCCATCTCCTGCCCACAGCCAAGGAGATATCGGGCCCTCAGGAGGAGACTTCGGGCTTCCCCGCTGGAGACACTTTCCTGGCTGTAACTACAAGGCTGGCTTAGGGGAGGGCCTGGCCCTCCTCACAGCAAGCACTGTGCTGAAAAACCTCCCTCTGCTCAGATTCTAGCATTTAAGGAGCAGGAAGTGGGAGTGCTGGGTTCCCACACAGCATGGGGTGGGGGGTGTGGGGGGTGGGGGGCGCTGGCTTCCAGGGGCCCTGCTTACCAGCATCTCCTCTGAAGCCGCCTGGGGTGCTCCCGGGCTCAGGAGAGGTGGTCACATGGCTTCCTTAGTATTTAAACCGTTTTTGGTGTTTCTAGTATAGCAACATGTCTCTTCCATCCTTTCCCAGCAGAGTGACGGGCATCTGGGTAGCCTCATGCTCTGAGCCGAGGGGTTCACCTGAGCATGAAAGAACAAAGGGACTGATGTTGAATGGACTCTCTGGGCCTGTGGGTCCTCCATCTGTGCTCCCAGGGCCACTCACCTTCCTGGGAGAACTGTCCTTTCTCACCAACAGACATACATTTCAGCCAAAGTGTCTGGTACACGCATAGCCGTTGAAGGCTGACACTCCTCGCTGGGACGGAGGCGAGTTACAAAGGAAGGATGTGGGCATCTCCCTTACACACTAGCCCCCGGGTTCTCCGGGTCCATCAGCAGCCTCTGCTCATCTGGGGTGAGCCAGGGACATGTCTGCCTGAAGAAGCACCTCTGAAAAGAAGGGGTTAGCTTGAGTCCCCAGAAGCCAGGTGGTGGGGAAGGTGAAGGGAGGCGACCAGCAGCTGGGGTGCAGGCGCCACACACTTACCTGGGGGTCAGACAGGCACCAGGGGTGCAGGCCCCCTCCTCCCCCAGCTTCTCCCCTAGGCTCACCCCCTTGCACTCTCACTTTCTGGCAGCAGCAGAGCAGTTTTCCCCAGCTTGGGTAAAGGGCTGAGGTAAGAGACAAGTGGGGGGGGGTGGTCAGCTGCTCTGGGGGGGATGCAGGTGACCATGAAACCCGCTGCGGCGGGGTCTCTGCTCCGGGTAGCCTTGGGAGCTGGGGGTGGGGGTGCCGGTGGCAATGTAAGTGATGGACGCTGGTCTGGGGTAGCAGGAGTCCCCACCTGGCCTCGGCTGGGGATGGAGCCAAACGCGTGAAGCCTGGCTCACGGCTCCCCCTAAGCTAGACAGCCCCTCACTTTCCAGTCCGTTATTCAAGATCTGCCGTGTTGTCCCCTAGTCCCATCCTGTGGCCTTCTCACCAGACCCCATGTTAGCTGGGTGTGTGACACTATTTTCTTGGTGCTGAGGGAAGACAGTGGGGGGGGGCTGCTGCATATTGTAGGGCTGCCCCCCATGAGGCACTATGAGGCATCTCAGGCCGGGAATCAGGGTGCACTGCTCCAGGCAAGCCT